AAAAAAAAAAAAAAAAAAAGATATCTTTAGAATAAGCTCTTTCTAATCCTATTTAATAAATGAAACAGATGACTTCCCTGACCTCATCAATGAGGCAGAATTTTTCTAAAAATTCAAGTGGGCTAAATCTTTAATCAGGCATGCCCTACGTTTACAAAGAAGGGAAATAAACATTCTGGCATTTCCTGGGGATCAACACAGCCTCTATGAGGCCATGAAGTCTATGAAGAGTTCCAGAAGTGACTTCAACAAGTCACTTGGCAGAACCATGAGCTAAATTTCCAGCCCAAAAGTATTGTTTCTTATCTGAAAGCAGTGGCAGCAAACCTATGGCACATGTACAATAGCAGGCTGTTTGTTAACACGGAAAGCTCTAAAAGGTTCACTATCACCATCCTAAAGTAACTCGGACACATGTCAGTAAAACAACCCTGAGATTGCACCTCACCCCACAAAGAATGGCTGCTATAAGAAATCAATCAATAACAAATGCTGGCAGGGTTGTGGGGAGAAAGGAGTCCTTCTCCACTGTTGGTGGGAGTGCAGAGGGGTGCAACCACTGTGGAATTCAGTACAGAGACACCTCAAACAACTAGGACTAGATGTTCCATTTGACCCAGCCATCCCTCTGCTGGGTATCTTCCCAAAAGAATTAAAAGACTCACACCACAGTGATGTGTGTGCACCCATGTTTATAGTGGCACAGTTTGTAACAGCTAAAACTTGGAAGCAGCCCAACTGCCCATTCATTGGAGACTGGAAAAAGAAGATGTTGTTTTTCTATAAAATGGAGTACTACTCAGCCAAGAATGAGAAACTAGCATCATTCACAGGAAAATGGATGCATATTGAGACCATATTCTTAAGTGAAATAAATAAGACACACATGTAAATACTGAATAGTTTCTCTGGTATGAAAAACTAAAAGTGTAAATAAGATCCAAACTGTATAACTGATAATGTGGAATAGGAAGAAAAGGGCTAAAGGAGTAGGAGAAGTGGGAAGGGTAGGGGAAAGGAAATGAGGGAAAAGAAAAAATATGAGAAAAGGAAAAAATGGAAACAAAGTTTGTAAATAGGGGAGGGTTGTAGGGGCGAAAGGAAGGCAGGGGTATGAGGAAAAAAATGAGAACCAAGATCTGTCATGTAAAGGTACAAGATCCCAATGAGAAATGTAACTGTACTGTATGCTTAAAAAGTACCAAAAAACTCAAAATAAAAAAAATTCACAAACCACATGTAACTACTTTTCATGCACACACACACAAAAAAAACAGTATGTATACTATTATGTTTTGTTGTTGTGTTGCTTTGTTAAAACAGGGTCTAGTTATGTAGCTCCGGCTGGCCTTGAACTCACTATATATCCCAGGCTGGCCTCGAACTTGCAGTGATCCTCCTGCCACAGCCTCCTGAGTGCTGGGATTACAGATGTGTGCCTCTACACCCAGCTCAGGTTGTTTTTAAATGCCCTTTTTAATTGACAACTCACCTGAAACTCATCACAAACAAGACATATCACTATGAACAAATTTCATTCCAAAGTTTTTTGTTGTTGTTTTTTGGGTTTTTTTGGTACTGGGGATTGAACTCAGGTCCTTGCGCTTGCAAGGCAGGCCACCGAACCGCTGAGCTAAATCCCCAGCCCAATTCCAAAGTTTTAATAGCATTAAAAACTAGGATCTACTTAATCAGGTGATATTTATAAAAGGCATAATGAAATTGTGGAGAAATTGAGACTTCTAGAAAGCACACAGGTCAAAATCTTCCTCCTTTAGGTTGTACTAATAAAACTCCAATTTAACAAAGTTAGAACCAAAGCTACTGTTTCAGTAGACTGGACTACTTCCAGTACAACCTGTTCGCTGCTCCGGAAGACGGGGAGGGCACTGTGGCATACTGCAGTTTTGCATAAGAAGCAGAAAAACTAGTGTTGATATATAGGCATCTAACACAGCATCTATGAAAATTATGTCTTTAGAAATACTTTGCTTTTCACTGTTTCTAACACTATTATTTTCAAAATAACTGAAACACTACAGTAAGTCAGATATTATATTCTTGAATCATTCAATGGTTTAATTATTCTATATTAGTATTTCCTATGTTCACACACATTTTTTTTCTTTTAAAAATGTGATTAAAGGGGCCAGGGATTTGGCTCAGTGATTCTGCCATCTGTCTTGCAAGCACAAGGGCCCAAGTTCGATCCCTGGCACCAAAAAAAAGAAAAAAAAGTAATTAGAAGCTAGGGATGTAGCTAAGTGTTATAGCGTTTGCCTCACATATAGAAAAATAAAATAGAAATATGATTACATACATCCTTTCTTCACAAATTATATATATATAT